CCCGCTCCCTCCGCTCCCGCACCTCTCCTCCCCACCCCGCGCCCGGCTGGCCTCGGGCTGCCTTCTCCGCTGCACGGAGCATCTCGAGGACGAAGGAATAAACTTCTCCCCGAGCGCGGACCCGGCGGCTGGTGGCCCCTTGTCACCGTGGAAGCGGGGAGAGGAGTCGGGGGAGGTCACGTTCGGGAAGAGCCTAGGAAAGTGCTCGGAGACCACTGTTGGAGGTTATTGTGTTTGGGGAGAAAAAAAAATGCATCTGCAGCCGAGTTCCTGACGGCTCCCCTCCCCCAGGCCTGGCTGTGACATTGCCGTGGCCACAAAGGAGGAGGTAGGGATGGTGGTGGAAGAACAGGTGGCCCACACCCTGCAATGGACAGCCCGTGACTTCAGGAAAAACTTCATCCCAGGAGGTCTGCTCTGTTTTGCCTTGTCAAGTTTAATACACAACGCAGAACACCCGCAGAGCAGAAGCGGGGCTTTTCCCTTGTGTAGACAGTCGTAGCCGGCACCGTCCTCGAAGTTTAATTTACCGGCTCTTGTCCTTTCCCTTACCTCTTCGATGTTACCCGCGTCCTGGCAGATTTGACCCTCATCCCAAGAGGTAGTATCTTAAACAGCACTCAAAAAATTTTTGCCTTAAAACTGAGCTACAGGAGTTCATTGTAGCAATCTCCCAGCCCACTGCCTGGAATACCCTAAGGCAGGTGCATGCTAGTCCTAAATGAACCTTACATCTTAATGTCCATCAAAACAAGGGGTTAAAAACGGAGAGGTGTTTGCTCATTTTTACCCAATGTTACATTTGTAATGGAAACATTCATTTAAAAAGAAATTGTAAATGTGCAGAATCTGTTCCTAATAGTCATCTCAGAATCAACCATACGAGAGATGTCACTCTTAGGCCCCAAATGCTGACTCCAACAGAGACATCCAGTATGGTTGATAGTAGTGCTACTTGCTTTGAGACTAGCCATCCGCAGGCATACTTGGTTTTAAGAGGTAGTAGATGAGATGATAAATAAAAGTGATTTTTTCTTCCCTTGACTAGATCTTGTGCTCTGATCACATTTCCACCCCTTGCTAGCTAGCTTTTGTAGCTTTGGGTGAGGGGGCTCCTTCTGGCATGTGATCTTCGGTAAGCTTCCTTGGGAACCCAGTTTTCTCTTCTGGACTTGAATATTACTTGACTTTATAATCCAGTTAAAGGAGTCCCCCTTCCCCAGAAACAACCACTCATCAACAAGTAGACCAGAAAGTGTGTTTCAGGGTTCACAAGTTCTAATCCAGTCTCTGTCCACGGGATCTCCTAGGCTAGCAAACTGTTTTGGTGTAAGGGTCCCTTTATATTCTTAAAAGTTATTGGAGATCCCAACGTGTGGTATGTCAATATTTACCATCATAGAAACAAAAACGGAGACTTTTAAACAGTTCTTAATTCATTTAAAAATAGAAACAAGAAGCCCATTACTTGGTAACATAAATAGCTTTTTTTAACTAAAAATAATTTTTTCAAAACAAAAACAAAAGTTAGTGAGAAGGGGGGCATTGTTTAACACGTTTGCAAATCTTAATTATATGACGCTAGGAGACATCTGGATCCTCATACCTGCTTCTGCATTCAGATCACACATCTGGGAAACTTCACCGTACACTTGTGAAAGAACAAGAGTGGAAGGGGTAATTGACAATGTAGAATTTTTATGAAAATCGTTTTTAACCTCTTGGACCCTCTTCCCCCCCAAAGCCTTGGGAAGCCTAATGGGTTCCTGGACCACTTTTGGAGAGCTAGGCTATCCAAATTATTTTGCAGAGATACATTATGGTGTGATTCTCCTCACCTATTTGGAATAAAAAGTGGGAGCAAACAGAATGAGATACATGTTTGAAGTGGCTCCCACGGTGGCCCTAGACAAGAGCAAGTAAGGCTATGGTGGCAATGCGCAGGCCAGGGATCTGTAATATAACAGTCTCTGATAACAACAGTTGCCTAGCCTGTATGCTCTCTGTGAGAGGGCTCAGGAATACGGTAAGGAGGTGGTTAGTATATTATCATTTGGAAAACCATATTATCTTTTATTTTCCTGTGACTATTTGGTGGATAATTTTTGGCTTTCAGTAAACAGGGTGCTGTATGTATATAGTGTTTATATCTGCACATTCATTAATTTGGGACTACTTATAATAAATTGTGCATTTACTGCCATTCTTTCCATGGTTCCTTATTTGTAATAATATCATGTAGTTATTGAGGGAGAGAAGATAAAATTAAATTCATTTTATTTCAAAAAGTTTGAAACAACTGACTAAAAAATATTTTCTGTCTTGTACTGATAACCTTACAAATTGTCAATATTTATTGCAACTGTTGGGAGATGATGAGATGCA